AAACGCTTCTGCGTTATTACGAGGCGACTCTAATTTTTCTTTATCATTTGGCAAACACATTCGAAGGAATCACCAACAAAGCTGTACCAATCTAACCTCAGTGTTTCTGTAAAGTAGAGTTGAGTGATGGCTTGTTTTCATTTTTTTTTTACAACATTGACGAGTAACAGGGACATGCTATAAGTTGAGGTTAAACATTTTCAACACCAGATTTCACTCAATTTCCTAACTTTATTGAAACCAAGCTACAAAAGTTGCCAAACAATGTCCATTTCCTATCAGGAGGTGACCCTGATGCAAAATCTACCTACTGTGAAAAAGTAAATATTCTCAGTAACAGAGAAAATGTTTCATTCGAGGCAATCAATACCGAAGTTTTTACGGTTTTTCAGCTACAGATTGAAGACTTTGTATGATAATGATCATGGAAAAGAGGATTTAAACAGGCGATTGTCGTGAAGCTAAAAACCGTGAGGTTTTATTAAAGCTTTAGGAAGGCTTATAACATGCGAAGTCGACCTGAACACCTGTAGGCTTATCATGACAATATGTATGTAAATACTCACACAGCAAAAACAATAAATAATATGCAAATGAATGAAATGAAAAACTTTATTGAAGTGTCTATGTTTTTAGCTATAAGCTAATGGGGGACACTAAAAAATTTTAAAAGTCAAATACTTTTACATATGTAGATAATAGTTATTTACAGTAGATAAATAAATTTATAAAATTCCCGCCAGTGTGACTAAATACATGATTCTCTCCTTCCATAATAAAACTTTTTCTGTCACGACAAGCCAATATGGTGATCTCGTAAATCTTTACTAGTGAGTACATATTTTTGATGTCAATCACTCAAGTTACGGTAGATGTTACTTTTTCAAGTGTCACGCTAGCCATTCTCTAAAAAGAAATCAAAACTACTGTGCCGTAGGTTTTTCCCTACCCAAATAATCCAGACTAATGATAGTCTCGAGCGATGGGATCGAAGAGATAACTAAACGAGAAAATCTTGATCCATATCTTCGCAGAAATTTAGTATCACTTTTTCATCTTTTCGGTCCGTATTCAAATTTACCAATCAGCTGTTTGGGAGTGCCATACGCTATGAAGCCGGAAGTTTCCCACAACACACCGGATCACTAGTCCTCCGAACCCGGTTACACCAGTTGAGCACAAGATTTCCCTTGCAATTACCAACTGATCGATCGCTATAGCCGACTTTTACAACTCAATCACCGACTAGGAGTACTGAAGGAAACGCTTAAGAGAGGTTGAAGGGCATTTTGAAGAGAGTGATTGAGCGAAAATTGCAGAATACTTCAACTGAAGATGTTGCAGGTTAGAAAGGACCTGATGGTAGAGATTGGAGTTACTGGCGACGCAGGAGCTGGAAAATCGAGTTTTATCAATGCGATACGGGGGTAGGTAGACTCGTTTGTGAAACCAGTGAAACAGGTGAGAGTAATAAAGGACTAAAGCTCGCAACGCCAATTTTCCTTGAGCGCTATGGCGGTTAATCTGGGTCATCAAATTTACGTAAACATTCAACTACGATTTTTTAGTTTCGTGCTAACGCTGCACGAAAGAACGGTTTGTTGTCATTCAGCTGAATTTGCAGTGAATAAGCGTTAAGAATCTTAACATCCCTCTTTCTTTCGCTTTCGATTTGCATTTCACTCTCAACACGGAAGAGGGACCTAGGCGGTGTGCGCACTCTGATCGCGTTGCATCATGGCGGTAAAAGAAAAGTTAGTCTTTTACATCCTGTCGTGATCGAGTGAACATCTTTGGTGGCTGTGAGAATAGCACGAATATACAGGGAATGTAATGAGGATTCACTGTCTGTTGCCATTCCTTCGAAAATTAAAAAAGCGTCGATGGGCCAGCGCAACCGCAGCCATTCTTCAGTGACGAATTCGTCATCAGGAGGAAAGTGACGACATTGAAAAAGGAATCGAAACTGCAGTCTTGCCTAAGAATCTATAAACAAATGGCAGCAGTTACACTCGCAGCCGATGGCTGTATGAATAACACTAAAGTCAGAAATTACATTCTTAGACGCGAGTTCTTTACTGACAGGGATCAACCCTTGACCTACAAACACACTACAAAGAGACAGAGGCGTTCTAATGCGAACTTTTTCCATGTTATCCACTAGGCGTAAATATGGGATTCGTAAAAGGAGAAGCATTACGCCTCTGGGGAACGAATTGGTCACGCTCCAGGTTTTCTAGAGTTATTTTCTGTGGAAGCGAAAGGTTACTTAAACTGACACAAAGTAAATAGTGCACAAAATAAGATATTGCCTTTTGTAACACAATCTCATGCGGCTTTGCCAAACCTGAAGAACGTGCAGATGGGGAAATGATATCTTAAAACTAATTCTATTATGACATCGCAAAGGAAAGTAATTAAAACTAAGATATCCTGGTAATAGCTAAACTTCGAAAGCAAAATATTTCAAATCGCTAGCGAGTGGCAGGAGTCGCTCAGGCCAATCAAAACTTATCAGCGGTCGACTGCCATTTGCTTTCCAGCTTACCCGGCGCGTCACCTTGCGCAAGGTCCTTCCCTTGCTCTAGTTCAGCTATCCTTCCCTCAGTGATAAAGATAGTCCCTTTTCCATACAATACTAGCTATTAGTTGGTTTGCTTTTACTTAGGAGAGTAGATTTACAACACGACTGAGTATGCCGATATAGAATAAGTAAAGCTCTGTAAAGCAATACACTTAACACTGACACATTACGCCTTTTAGCGACCATAACTGGTCTCAAAAACTAGCACCTAAAATGCATAAAACACGAGTACTAATGCAGAGCGTTGGAGAGCATTTGGTCAGAATCTTAAAGAAGGATCAAAGTGGCCATTTAATTCTTTTAAAAGCTTCAAACTACGACGTACATCAAATTAGACTTTGAAAACCGGTCTCAAATTACATGCTGAAAAAGCAGTGATTACGTTTGTCTTTGAATACCAACTGAATACGCGACAAATACGTACAAAAAAATACTTCCACACATTCGATGTAGATCCAATTACATTTACCTATGGTGGAAGGAAAAAGAAACGGCCTAGTTTCTTTAAGGAAATGATCTGTCGATTTCTGTCACTTTCACCACCATCAAATAACTCTACCACAATACAACCCAATCATAGTGAACACACCACCTGAGAGGGATTATTCAAGGGTGGTAAGGGTTTTCAGAAAATCACTCTCGAAAATGACTTCCACACTAAAAATGCCCGAATTCGGTGTATTTCAAGTCCAAAAGGATAATACTTCTGCTTCGTGAAAATCGCTCATTTTAGGTGCAAATTGTAGATACATGTTTAACAAAAGCCGTGCGTTGATGATTTAGAAGCAAACACTTCCAATACTCGGAAAAGTGAGTTTTACGAAGCCTAGTTAGCCAATTTTGGCCCATTCTTCTCTAATTCAGGGCTCCTCTAAGCGAAGTCGCCTTCAAATTTGGTTACGAATACTTCATCATGTCCACACCTTCTGCCAAAAACACGGTCGAGCGCGGATGATGAAGTTTACCATCCGCACTCAACCGTGTTTTTACAGAGTCCCGTTTTTCTTGAGCGCGATGTAAATGTTATATAAGTATGTTGGAAATTTTACCGTCGACTCAAAAAGCATACAAGGAGACTTTTCGCAAAAGTGCTAAAATTGATTCATGAAAGATTGATTTTGAAATTATTATTTTCCGATGGTAATAGGAGAGATTTCACGAAAATGGACAATTAATGAAAACATTAAATCGTTTATTCTACTTCTAGGCTTGATGACGATGCTGACGGTGCAGCCCCAGTTGACGTCATTGAGTGCACCAAAGAGCCCACATCCTTTAATCACCCAAAAAATCCAAAAATAAAGTTTTGGGATCTACCAGGAATAGGAACTCCAATGTACCCTGACCTAGAAACGTACCGCGACAAAGTACAGCTCGGCAAGTATCATACATTCCTCATTTTTTCTAGCAGCCGATTTACCGAGAACGACATCATATTGGCCAAAGAAATCAAGAAACAGGGAAAGTCATTCTTTTTCATTCGCACAAAAATTGATGAAAATGTGCGAGCTGAGAAGCGAAAGAAATCTTTCAGTGAAGCTGCTATGTTGCAGAAATTTCGGCGCAATTGTATGGAAAACCTGGTTGACGAGGCTGGCAAACCTATATGCAGTGAAGACCACATCTTCCTGATAAGCAACCATCATCCAGGCAAGTGGGATTTTGGTCGACTTACCCGAGCGATTCTTGACGCATTGCCAAGGTATCGGCGAGAGACCCTAAACTTATCACAGAGATCGGGACGGGAGGACCCGGATATTACCGAGAGAATGTGGCGTGAGAGCTGGTTGAACGAGGAACGTCTTTTTACATCGTCTAGATATCTGCAGCGAGAGAGCCATACGTTGTCCTAAAGATCGACTGATGGGAGGATCCCCGGATGTCACCGAGAGGATGTATGTGGTTGGAGAGCCGGTGGAAAATGGAAGTTCACGTAGGAGTTACTGGCATAGCAGGAGCTGGAAAATCGACTTTTATCAACGCTATACAGGGGTAAGTACTTCTCTTTTGTTAGTTTATGTTATTTCTAAGATCACGTTAACGGTAAACTACGAGCTTTTAGTTTATTGGTAACGCCACAGAACAGCGAAGACCTATAGACAGGTTTTTTTTTCGCGAGAGCTAGGGCCGAAGGCGCGAAGTTACGAGGATCGGGGGCTCGAGATTGTATGTGTGTCCGGAGACATGCTGCCCTGGGAAGTTTTGAAAATTGGTTCGTTTCAAACTGCATTTCGTTCGTTTTAAAGGTCGTTTCAACGAAGAAGAATTGCTCAGTCGAAATGGATTTTGGGCTTAATCTTTGAATAGTATGCCAAGCTCAAGCCTCCTTGATGCTTTTGAGCCAAAAAATTTACCACCTCGCCTAGTTTGACGTTTATATTGTAGTGAATGTGCATTAACCAAAGCAAAGAGATCTTTCTCGAGCCATGCTGGCTCTATTGTGAGTGTAGAGCCGTCTTTGGGCATTTGTGCTCTTTTCTCAATTGCAGCTGGTGCCTGAAATTGTTCAACAAATCTTCAAGTACTTCAGTAACTTTGCTTTTGCCCTTATCCCGATCTACAAAGCGGGCATCAAGAGCCAGTTGCTCCCTATAGCTGGGTTACTTTGTCAGTCGTGATACAGTAAAGTTTTGCAGCTCGATTTTTTTTCCTTTTTATCCTATCTAATTATCTTGATCCAATTGTTTCCGAGTGTACACCAAATTGCGCTCTACTCAGTTCAATTACCATTACAAAAAGAATGGTAATGGAAAGACGTTTGTTCCATTTTCTAGGCTTTGTGACGATGATTATGGTGCTGCCCCTGTTGACATCGTCGATTGTGCCAAAGCGCCCACATGCTATAATTACCCAGCTGATCCAAACATAAAGTTTTGGGAATTACCTGGAATTGAAAATCCATATTTCACTGACCTGGAAACGTACCGCTACAAAGTACAGCTGGATAAATATGATACGTTCGACTTGACTCTGATGATGACTTCCGCACAGGTTGTCGAAACGTCAGTCACTACCACCGACAACAGTCCTTCTCAGGACTACACTCACCCGGACGATCAGACTATACCTTCACATGTTACCCTCGGGTTCAAACCATTTACTGCATTATGATACGTTCCTTATTTTTTTATGCCATCGAGTTACCAACAGTGGCAGAGAATTAGTAAAAGAGATTCGTAAGAATGGGAAATCCTTTTTTTTTCATTCGCACAAAAGTCGATGAAGTCATTCGAGCTGAGAAACGAAAAAGATCTTTCAGCGAAGCTGCCGTGTTGCAGAAAATCCGGTGCGACTGTTTGGTAAATCTGGGTGGAGAGGGTATTTGTCGCGAAGAGGACATCTTCTTAATAAGCAGCCATCAACCAGACAAGTGGGATTTCAATCGACTTGCCCAAGCGATTCAAGATGAAGTGCAAAGATATCAGCGTAAGACTATCGCTTTTTCCCGATAATCTACGGATACAGAATCAGATGACAGATCGGAGGATACAAATGATAGTTGTCTCTTACTCTAAAATTTTGATCAGTTATCAGCTATGGAGTTTTGGGATACTGTATATACTGATATTTCTTTTTTTCCTAATGTGGTACCAATGTTTTTGAAAATTGTGAAACGTTGAAGACCAAATTCCTAAAATTCTTACAATTTGAGTTTGTATAGGAATTAGCGAAAATGTGTGAAAATGAGAGACTTGACAACAGAGCACTATATACCGGATAACAAAAGACCAGGGACAACGGAAAAAACTCAAAACCCCAGACCGGATAACAAAAGACCAGGGACA